CATGAGTGGACCTCAGCCACACTCACATAGGAGGCCATGAGATGAAAATGAGATACTCGAAATGCGTGCACACGTGCACGCAAACCGAGGACCGAACCTAAGGCACGAATGCCACTCTACCAAAGCATGGCAAGGCATGGAACATGGTATGCAAACATGCAAATTTCAGCGTTAAGATATGACATAAAATAGCCCCGAAACATGGCAATATGGCACCCGATGCACGGAATGAGACCCGAAATGCAAAACTAGGCACATGCAATGGCCTATAGCTATACAAAAATTGCATTACCTGAACATGAAGTATGAAGACAGAAGCAAGACAGTCCCATAAAAAACATGTTTACAGTTTCAAGCTAGGCCAAACAGTGAACACAAATAGGGCTAAACCAATATGCAAAAATGGCCCTAAATGTGAGATAAAGAAGCAAGTCATGGTTAATGGCCTCAAACAAGAGAGGGCCCTTCAACAATGTTGAAGAGGGACCCAAAACATGACATTTTACAGTTTATGATCAAACCCAAAACAATGCACATGAAAGCCTAAAATACTATGCAAAATAAGGCCTAAAAAGAGGTTTAAACACAAAGAGCAAGAAGGGAACCTCAAACAGAAAAAAACCCTTGATAAAACATGAAGAGAGGGTCAAAATAAGGCTATTTACAGTTCGGACCAGAGCCCAAAAATATAAGCACAAAGGGCTAACAAAACATGCAAATATGAGGCCAAAAGAGGGATATAAAGGAAAGTGGAAAATGGAAGCCTCAAACAGTGATGAGCCCTTCAACAATGTTGAATAAGGGCTCAAAATAAGCCACTTTAAGAGCTTAAAAAAATGCTATTTTCAGTTATGGTCGGAGCCCAAAAATGTAAGAAAGTATAGTTAATATATTGAGCAAAATAAAGCACAAAAGAGGGAGAATAGGGACTCACCCTTGTAGACTATGTCTTCAACAATTCTTGGGCCAAGTTTGGTGGCTCTCAACCTCTGGAAGTGGCCTTGAAGCTGCTGGAATGGATGATGGAGGCCTTGTGCTAAGGGGTGTAGGGTAAATGGTGTAGGGTTTGGAGAGGTTTTGGTGTTTGGAAGAGAAGGAGAGGGAGATACAATATAGGAGGCTAAGGGTAATTTTTTGTAACCCTCAACACAGAGCTGGAGGGTCTGATATATAGGCCAAAGAAGGGGAGAAAAGGGGGGAAAAATGGGGGGGAAAGAATTCAAGTTTCCCCCCAAAAATGCAGCCATCCAGATACAAATTCTGGGGGGAAACAGAATACACTTCTGTAAAGTGTCTGGAGAGAGGATCATGGCCGGCTGGTTATTGAGGTTGCAGGTGGCCGGCCAGCTCTCCCCATGGCCGGCCAGCCAAGGGTCAAAAGGGTCAATCATGATTAGTGGCCGGCCACCCCAGAAAGAGGGCCTCCCATGTGTGCACAACACAACCATGTAGTCAAAACTGGAAAAAGTGAACTAGGAGAGAGAAAAGGCCACTTTTAGGAGGGGTTCAAAAGGGTCAAAAAGAATTACTGGCCGGCCATGTGATATTGGTGGCCTCCCAGGTGTGTACAACACAAATATGTGGTTTGGGACAAGAAAAAGTGGCCTTAGGGTGGCCAATTTTGGCTTTCAAGTGAGGAAAACGGGCGACGGAGGGCGATGGGGGAATAAAACTGGTTGTCAGAACAATTACTGGCCTCCCACCCTTCTACGACCTTCCTAACAATGAAACAGAGGTCCCTGCCAAAAATGAACTCAAACCGATGCAAAATAAAGGTTCGGGGGCCGAAACGCGCAGCCCGAGGCCCCGAAAACTGACTGTTAGGCACTGGAAGTGGTGTTCGACCACGAAATTGGTCTCTCGAACCACAGTGTCCCTCGAAAGGGAGCAAACAAGATGTATGCCAAAAATTAGGGCAAACGGAGGTGGTTAAGCGGTCCCGAACCGAGGCACACGGCCGTCGGCTCCAAAAAACTAGAAACCGGGCTCCAAACGGGAAAAATGGCCTACGACCATGAAACGTAGCCTACGGCCACTGAGAGATGATCTACGAGACCTCTTCCTCCCTTTGGGAAGAGAAAACAGAGAAAACGGAGCCTGGTTCGTAAACCGAGGCAAGACACGAAAGAGCCCGAAAGTCCAGAGGCAAGGCTCGCAGTCGAGACTCTGAAACTTCTGAACGAGTACAATATGCACCATCACTGAGCGCTCAATCGGTGACGTCTGAGTCTTAAGGTCGGTCAAAAATGAGGTGTCTACAGGTATTCATCTCTTCTCCCTCATCCACTCATAGAAACCACTTAAAGAAGAGGTAGATGGACTATAACCCTGAACAATGATATAAATAGATATGTATAACAGATATTTTGCAATAAATCAACAATTAAATGAATCAAAAAGAAGAACAAATTCAAGCCCCACGTAAGGGACATGAACCTACATATTCTCTTTGTGAATAAGGGAAAATCAATACTCAAATCCATGCTATTAAGTGGAGAGCGTAGATTAATGCAAATCATTTCTTGGTGGAAGTTTTGCTTATTAAAACAAGGGATTCATCAAATTTATTGAAAACTCCTCATCTAGTCATAGAACAAGGATGATTACATTCTTTTCTATGTTCACAAGTGATTGAAAAGAGAGGTTTCAACTTTCTTTGACCTAAAATCTCTCGTTTTACTTCCAAAATGCTCAATGAAAAGCTAAGGACACAACTTTTCCAACATTAAATCCCATGGATTACCCAAGCAATCCTATGAAACAACCCCTAGCACTCATTGACATTAAGTAAGGAGTAGAAACACATGGATTGATATACTTCAGAGATATTATAGGTGAAGAAGAGGGGTGTAAAGCCAAGGAAAGCCAAGGAAAGCAAGGATTCAAAGTATTCAAAGTACATAAAAAATTGAAGTTAAAGCCAAGGAAAGCAAAAAAAGAATAGAAAAAGCTAGAAACTCAATGGACAGGTGGCTAAATCTACTCGCTCCACATCCATGAGGACTTGTTACATCTCTACAATAGTTTCATAATGAAAACAAAGCTTGAAATGAAGAAAGGAAGAGAGAAAGATGATCAAAGGTATAAGAATACCGTATTCTAAGAGGATAAGTCATTTTAGTTCACAAACTGCCCCTTTAATTCCCTCAAGTCACATTAGATGTATTATTTAATGTCTAAGAGTCTTAGCAAGGAGCCTAGGATCAAGTTTCAATGGAGTTTTGATATTTAAAGTCAAAGGGTGGTAAGTAAGAGATGAGGACAAGAGAGAGAAGGGTCAATAGGTTCTTATGAGGTTTGGGCCAAACTGTCACCCTTTTGAAATGAACTGGTGAGCTCTATTTATAAAGTCTAGGGTATAAATATTTGAAATATATGTGGAAAATGTGTTGGACAAGTTGAAATTCTTGAAAATGCTCTATACCCGGAACATTAAGCCAGCCGTTCCACTTGTTGATTGGTTGAGTGTGTTTTTGACCAGCTAACATATGGTATCCGGCCAGTCAGAAAGCACGTCGTCATATCAACTAGAAAAGGTTAGCCTGAATTGAAAGGAGAAATAGGTATTTTAGAAGATTTCACCCCTTTTATCCATTCTAACTATATTCTTTTCTCAATCTGTTTGAAAGAATACCACGTTTTGACTTTGAAAATATGAGCCTCAGAACATTATGGTAATTTCTGGATTTGCACCACTAAAACTTGTTTTGAAAGAGGTTTTCATTTTAATCGAAAAATATTTTCTCCAAAACAGGCATTTTGAGGGTTTAAAGCTTGATCCTTAGGCTTTTAGTTGTAGAACTTTGTAAGATTAACACATCTCATCTTCATCATTGGGAACTAAAAAGGGAGCACCCAAGTTTTGAGGGTAGAAAAAATAGGGTGTCTACACTCATATTTGGCCAAATCAGAGGATCTGAGGACAATTCTTGATGAAAGGGTGCACCTAAGAGAAGCCCAGAGGATACCTGCTTTACAAAGGATAGCACCCAGGTTGCATGGCAATGTGGAAGTAGCAACGTCAGCGCCGTAAGTGGTTGTTCATATGGCAACTGATCAACAGTTGGCAAGGCTGCAAAGCTTGCCATTCTCTTCAGAAATTGAGAATGTGCTTTTGGCTTCCATCAACCTTAGTTTACCATCTACGATAGGAAAACTGATCCCTACATGCACATTAGCCACTATCAGTAGGTCATGGCAGTGCATAGGCAAAATGATGCCTTAATATGCATTCTGTTTCTGTTAAGTTTGGGGAAGTTAGGCTTGATATGGTTTGGAAGGCTACCAGAGGGTAGCATTGACACTTGGACGCAGTTAGCGGAAGCTTTTGTCACTCGATTCAAGGCAAACACTAAGACGCTAAAGAAAGTTGACCACTTGTTGAAGGTCACGATGGAGGAAGGTGAGGTGTTGAAATCCTATAATGCCAGGTATTAGAAGATGTTCAATGAAATTAATGAATGCCCCATCAACTTGGCCATAGCACAATATAAACGTGGTTTGCCAGTTGGACATAGACTAAGGAATACGCTTATTATGACTCTGTCTTCCACCATGCAAGTGTCGATGGATTACATCAACCAATACATTATGGTGGAAGAGGATTCAACTCGGTCTACTGTGCAATCAGATAGTAAGGGTGGACAAAAAGGTTACGACAAAGGTTAACATGGTTGGGAGAAAAGAAATCTGAAATAATCGTAATCAAAGGAACAACAACAACAACTGGGTAGACCCGTCCCGAAATAATGAGGAGGAGAATGCGAGAAAATTAAAGGCGCGCATTAGCATCACCATGGTCTTCAATAAACCCATTTACAGGATTTTGAGTGAGATTCGAAATGAGCCATACGTCCGATAGCCAACCAAGTTAGGTGAAGCTCAGAGGGGCTATGATCCGAAGTACCAATTCACCTTTCATGATGAAAGAGGGCACCGTACTGAGGATTGTGTGCCATTGAAGCAACACTTGAAAGAGTTAATGGCGGCAAGCCACTTAGATCGTTTCATTGAGGGTGAAGCTAGAGTAACTCCCTAGAATCAAGTTCTTCCAAATGGCCTAGCAATCGAAGAAGCTGCTACCCAAGGGGTAATTAACGTGATTCATGGAATCATCAAACATGAGTAGGTATATGAGCTTAGGGAAATAATCAAGAAGGCTGAACATATGAGGGAAGTACTCAGTGTGCAGTCGATGAATAGGAAGGGGAGGACTAAGCAGAGGGATGTGATATCCTTCTCAAGTAAAGACTTAGAGAGGATCCAGACTCCTCACAATGATGCACTAGTTGTCACTATGTGTGTCAAAGACTTTGATATAAATAGGATCTTGATTGACCAAGGTAGCTCGGTCCAAATAATGTATTATGATGCCTTCAAGCAGTTGAAGCTAGAAGACAAAGACTTGGCACCGGCAACATCACCTTTGGTTAGATTTAACTCACAGCTGGAATGGCCTTTAGGGAAGATCATATTCTCGGTTAAAACTGGCTCAGTCATTAAGCAAGCAGAATTTTGGGCGTTGAAAGTCTCATCCATTTACAACTTGATTTTGGGGAAAGGTTGGTTGCACACCATGCAAGCAGTTGCTTCAACTTACCATCAAGTGATGTGTTTTCCTTTTATGTTTGGCATGATTGAAGAGGTATGAGGAGATCAGGTGATGGCGAAGCAATGCTTCATCACTATGAATAGCAACCGTGCTGCCAAAGGTTTTGTGCAAATGATTGAAGGACTAGAGAACAATGAAGTTCTAGTGGATGTGGACAAGAAAGCTGAGGAACAATTTGTTGAAGAGTTAGTGGAGGTGCGGATCAACGAGAATGATTCAGATAATTTCTTTTTACTAGGTTCATCTTTGTCTATCAAAGAAGGGTTAGAGATTATGGCCTTGTTTGGTTTGTTTTTCAGAAAAAATTTTGGGAAAAATTCTCCACAAACAAATTTTCAAGAGTAATCGAACCAAACAAATTTTTTCAAAAAAAATCTCAAAATTTTGTTTGGTTACCTACTTTTCAAAATCACTCTCTCTCTCATACACATCAAATCAATCACTTTTTTTAAAACTCTCTCTCCAAAACAATTTTCCAAAATCATTTCTGAAAAAAGACAAACCAAACAAGATTTCGTACTTTTTATCTCAAAAACTACTCTACAAACACAAACCAAACACACCCTATGGATTTTTTGACCTCTAACATCGAAGTGTTTTCTTGGACGCCTTATAATATGCTTGGCATTGATCCAAGCCTCATTTTTCATTAGTTAAACGTCTTCCCTCAGGCTAGACCAGTCATATAGCGAACATGCTGGTCAGCTTTACATCACACCAAGATAGTGGCGAAAGAAGTAAAAAATTTGCTGGAAGTTAGGGCTATCAAAGAAGTCCATTTTCCTAAGTGGATTTCAAACACGGTCGTTGTGCTAGAAAAGAATGAAAAATGGCGCGTTTGCGTCAACTACAAAACGGTTAACAGGGCATGTTCTAAGGATAGCTTCCCCTTACTGATGATTGATCAGCTGGTGGACTCAACAACTAGACATAGACAATTTAGCTTTTTGGATGCGTACCGTGGGTACCATCAAATAGCCATGTATAAACCGGACCAGGCTCACTTCCTTCACAATTCCAACGGGGTTGTACTGCTACAAGATATTGCTTTTTGGTTTGAAAAACGCAGGGGCTACCTTTCAAAGAATGATCACCAAAATGTTCACTCATTTTCTTGGTAAGACGATGGAAGCCTACATTTATGACATGGTGATTAAAAGTAAGAGTGAGTTGGATCATCTTAGCAACTTGACAGAGATGTTTGACATCTTTAAGACTTACAAGTTGTGTTTGAATGTAACCAAATGTGCGTTTAGAGTAGGGCTTGGCAAGTTTCTAGGCTTCTTGGTGACTAATTGTTGAATAAAATCAGAACCCTCGTAGATCAAAGAGTTGAAGAGACCGAATTCAACAAAGGACGTGCAACATCTTGCCAAAATGGCAATCGCGCTAAATAGATTTATAAGCCAGTCTTCAGATCGTTATAGACCCTTCTTCCAAGTGTTGAAGTCCAAGTTTTGTTGGGACGAATAATGCGACCACACTTTGCAAGAATTGAAAGTCTATTTGTCCTCAGCTCCAATCTTAGTGACTCCAAAACTTGCAGAAGAACTTATTCTGTACTTGGCAGTTTCTCAGCATACTGTCAGCATGGTTTTGGTAAGCGTAAAAGGAATACAACATCTACCAATTTTTTATGTGAGCAGGACTTTGTTTGACGCTGAAACAAGGTACTTACCGTTAGAAAAGTTGGCATTGGCCTTGATGATGACATCTAGAAAGTTAGCGTATTATTTTCATGCTCACACAATAGTCGTGCTAATAGAATTCCCTTTGAAAGTTTTGTTTGAAATGATCGATTTTTTCGGACAGATTTTGAAGTGAGCGGTTGAGTTGGGACAGTTTGATATTAAGTTCCAACCCAGAACTGTAATAAAGTACATGCTTTGGCAGACTTTGTTGTCGAGTTCACCACTAACACTTATCCTGTTTATCTGGTTGATCTTACAAAGTCAATTGCATAGGGAATAGGCGTTGTGGGCATTGTGGAAATTGTGCAGCCCACCATTGCGCTACAAGTGGATCATCAACCGCAGCTTGCAGAACCTAGCAGTATGCTGGCGGGTTTGGACACAGTAGTTCAACCTATTGAACCCAACAACGCGCCATTAGGGGGGAAGTTGACATGTAAGTTGTGGAGTCTAGCAGCAGTGCTCCTGAAAGGGAAGTGCTAGGGCTATCGAGCAAAGTGATGGCCGAACCATCAACGGCAAGGAAGGAAATTATTGAAGTCCTAGACCTTAAGAAGTCTTAGGACCCTTCAGAGTGCTGGAAGTTATTTGTTGGAGAAATGTGGAAACTTTTTGTAAATAGAGCTTCAAACAGGCATGGTGCCGAGCTAGGCATTGTTTTAATAACACCAGAAGGATTAACCATGGAGCATGCTATCAGACTTGGATTCCCAGCCTCAAACAATGAAACTGAGTACGAAGCATTATTAATTGGACTAAAAAAGCACCCTTCGAATGAAAGCAACCGAGCTAATCATTTACAGTGCCTCCAAACTTGTAGTCAATCAAGTTTCTGGAGAATATGAAGAAAAGGTTGGCAGGATGGCTAAATACCAAGTGCTGGTAAGATAGGAAATTAAGAAGTTTGGAGAATAAGGGTGGAATAAATCGGCTGCAAAGAAAATATCAAGGCAAACAAGTTAGTCGGGCTGGCCTCCATAGCGAATAAGTCAACTCCTAATCCTTTATTGATAAAGTTTTTACCAAGGCCTAGTGTCATGACCCAAACCCGCCCCTATGGGTTTAGCATCGCAACCAACCAGTAACCCATGGTTACCGAAGGCCTGCTTAACAATAATAACAATAATACAGAGTAAGGGGTTGGCGGAAGCCAAACAGTAATTGAGAGATGTCCAATGATCTGTGAAAATTTGTATGCAAAAAGACTTTTTATGAACAAGTCACATTCATAACCAAAAGCATGTGTACAATATCATATATACAAACATCCACGCTAGGGACCAAATCCCTAACCATAACTGTACAGTCAAACTTATTCAGTCAGTACAAAACAGAGACAAATAGGGGGAATCTAGAACACCCCAAAACAGCCTTGGCTTGGACAGACTTGGAACCTCGATGTGAGGCACAGTGGTTGGCTTGACAAAAACAAGAGCTAACTCGACGCTTCTAGCTCTGATCCGGTGCCTGGACACCTACATATAATTATAAACAATGAGCTAAAGCCCAGTAAATAAAAATGCATGAAGGGGTTAAGAATGAATGTCCTTTCAGTAATTAAACAGTTATATCAGTCACTTAGAAGCCATAGCAGTCATATGTGGTACATCCAATAGCAAAACAGTACAGTAGGTCTTAACAGACCAAACAGTTAGTTGATGGCCATCAAAACAGTATATAGTATTGGTTCCAAGTATTGGAACCGACAGAGATCTCTATAACAGTAGTAGTAACAGTACAGTAACAGTAAATTGCTATGGATGCCACGGATACAGTTCACAAATAGGACAAACATTCATTCAGTAACCAGATTCCCTTCAGAAAACAGTACAGTTGATTGTTCAAAAATAATCATAATTGAACATATCTTTACAACATTGTTACTCACAGAGCACTGGGCTACAGATAAGCTAGTGAGCATCCTCGGATGCCAACCCTACACAATTGCAGAATGAACACACACTAAGTTACACACTTGGGATTAATAACTCATCCCTTAACTAGACTCGGTGTGGTTCTACGTCAATATCCTCATTAAGATGCCTTAAACTAGGCCTAGGAATGCCTAGGATGGAATGAAGATGAAAAGATATACTTTAAAACACTTTTCAAAATTTGCTGAAAATAGGGGTCTCGCTCAAGCGTGGCTTTCTTCGCTCGAGCGAGCTTATCAAAAACAGAGGGGTCACTCGAGCGTAAACTCCTTCGCTCGAGCGGTCTGTAAAAAAATGCAGAAGATGCTTGCTCGAGCGTGAGACACATCCTTCGCTCGAGCGTAGGTCTCGTCGCTCGAGCGTGCGTCTGCGTGCACCAAAAACTTGAGAGCTCGTAATTCATGCTCGAGCTAACATTTCGTCGCTCGAGCGGACCTCTGAACACACAGGTGCTCGCTCGAGCGTGGAATCCTTCGCTTGAGCGAGGAAGCCAAATTCTGGGTTTTCCAGATTTGCCTTCAAAGCTCAAACCAAGTATTCAACACCTCAAAACTCAACCTTTTGGGCCAATTTTCTGGAAAACACTTGAAAACCAACAATATAACATGTCTTTGAAGATCAATTTGTAAAATCAAGCCCAAAGGTAAGTCAATTGAATACCAATTCAACCCAAAATTCAAGAACATGATGTAAATGTACCATGCATGTGTTTATTTGAATTCAAAGCTTTTAACACGTGATCAAATACATGGTTGAGCTCAAAATCATGGTGAAATCATGGACTACAACCAAAATATGGACATGCATGTAAGGAAAACACTTGAAAACCAACAATATAACATGTCTTTGAAGATCAATTTGTAAAATCAAGCCCAAAGGTAAGTCAATTGAATACCAATTCAACCCAAAATTCAAGAACATGATGTAAATGTACCATGCATGTGTTTATTTGAATTCAAAGCTTTTAACACATGATCAAATACATGGTTGAGCTCAAAATCATGGTGAAATCATGGACTACAACCGAAATATGGACATGCATGTAAGGATTTCATGAAAAACAACTTCAAAACACTATGATATGAACATGCATGCATGAACTCACTCTCAAATTCAACTCTTTACTTTAATTCTTGACTTAGATCACCAATTTACCATGAACCATGCAAGATACAACTTAAACTCACAATTGAGAGGATGAATACCTTACCTAGGTCTTGAATCTCAAGTGTGCTAGACCAATTTTGCAAATCCCCTACAATTCTTCTAATTCTCTAAGCCAAATTCTTGATGAAACCAATTTTCTTCCAAGTCTCTCTCTCTCTCTCTCACGTTTGGTCTCTAGAGGATGGAAAATGATAGTACCAAACAAATATGAATCAAGACTAAACAATGGCCTAGAAATAGCCACTCA